GTATTCCTGGAAATGTCTGTTTGTAACCCTACTCGCTGTGCCCCGCCAGGTGGAGGAGGTCGTGGACGGGCTGCGGCTGGACGCCGACGCGGTGCTCCGGGTGCGGGGGGTGTTTGAGCAGGAGATGGAGGCCGGCCGCCTGGACCAGCCTTCCTCGCTGCAGATGGAGAACACCTTCATACCTGAGCTCCTAGACGGCACAGGTGAGGTATAAAAGAGCAGCGTGCTGAGCTCGTCGGCTCGCGAATGCCAATTTCAGCGGGCAAATCGTCCACCCGTGTAAAAAACATATATATTTTTAAAAATGGCTTAATTTACAAAGCGAGGCCGTACAAAGTTTTCGCGGTATAGCTAGGGGATCGTCCAGAAAGTATATCCGTTTTTCTCAGATGGATTCGGAAATAAATTACGGGAGCTGGGCGCCTGCAAGACCAAGATAGGCACCCCCGCAGTGCATGCATGCACTACAGGCGAGATGTTGCCTAAAGGTCAGGCGTCATGATGAAAGCTTGCACATGGCACTTTGATGTCGGCGAATGACGGGCGTACTTGCTAAGTGATCCCTAAGTGGTATTAGCGGGTATTGGCTACAGCTTCACAGTTAAAAGTTTGGACAAATATACAACAAATATGTCACTGTTGCAAATAAAAGTTATAATTAAACAAATATTGCTGCCATTCGAGTTTTTAATGTTTTTTGAATATTGTTGTGCGTCATATGGCGTTAATTTAGAAATGGCACCGGCGACGGGGCTTTCCCACGGATAATTTGTTTTCGTAAAACTCACGTTGCTTTTTCTGTCGTTGCGACAGAAAATGGCTCCTTCATGGCGCTGGACCTGGGCGGCACCAACTTCCGCGTCATGAACCTGGTGCTCAAGGACGGGCGCCTGGTGGACGAGAACATCGCCTTCTACCACGTCGACGACCACCTTCGCATCGGCTGCGGCTACCGCCTCTTCGACTTCCTGGCCGAGTGCATCGCCGACTTCGTGCACAAGCAAGGCCTGGGCTCCGGCCGGCTACCGCTCGGCTTCACCTTCTCCTTCCCGATGACGCAGAGCAGCCTGGACGACGGCAAGCTCGTCACCTGGACCAAGTCGTTCAACTGCCCCAACGTGGTGGGCATGAACGCGGTGCAGCTGCTGCGCGACGCGCTCGCCAAGCGCGGGGACGTCAACGTGGACGTGATGGCGGTGCTGAACGACACGGCAGGTGAGCGCCCGCGAGGAGTGGCTATGTGGCTATACCAGTAGCTAAAGAGGGATAACTAATTATTTAGCTACGTTGCCAAAAATTTTGTATTTTGCTGACAATTTTGCGCTGTAGTGAAATTTTTATGCTATTTTTTAAGCTAAGTTTTCAAGGTGAATTTTCAAGCTAAATTTTAGTTATACTTCAGCTACATAGCTAAAGTTTGGACTGTCAAAGGAGTTGCCTGTTTCTCACCCCTGACCTGTTCACCTCCTTTGCAGGCACGCTCGTCAAGGGCTCGTACCTGGACCGCGACTGCGCCATCGGCCTCATCCTGGGCACCGGCAGCAACGCCTGCTTCCTGGAGCACGCCCACCTGGCCAAGAACAACTCGCACCTGACGCACGGCGAGAAGGACGTCATTGTGGACATCGAGTGGGGCGCGTTTGGCGACAACGGCTCCCTCGACTTCATCCGCACCGAGTTCGACGACTCGGTGGACGAGGTGTCCGTCATCCCCGGCTCCTTCACGTGAGTGCTCGCCCGCGTACCACCGCCCTGCCGTTCCTACACTAACAAGTTCGCAGTGACCGCTCTTGTTTAGCTAATTATTTATCTATGTAGCTAAAAATGTTGCTATATTTAGCTAATATCTATCTAGGTATATTTAGCTAATTATTATGATAGATATCTACATAGCGACATCTCTAAATCTTAGCTACATAGCTAAATAATAATTAGTTACCCCCTGTTTAGTTGTTATTGTTTGGCTCAGCTATCTAGCTAATCTTTTTTCTCCGTTCAGGTTCGAGAAGTACATCGGCGGCAAGTACCTGGGCGAGCTGGTGCGGCGGGCGCTGGTGCGGCTGGTCGGAGACGGGCTGCTGTTCAGCGGCACGTCCTCCGCCGAGCTCAACACGACCTGGGCCTTCACCACGAGCATGGTGTCGCACATCGAGCAGGACAACCTGGACGGGCTGCACCGCAACACACGCGAGATCCTGGACAGCTTCAACCTCAACTTTGACGCCGACGACGTGCTCATCGTGCAGTGGGTGTGCCAGCTCGCCTCCAACCGGGCGGCGCTGCTCGTCTCCACATGTGAGTCCTATCGACACGCGTGTTACATCTTTAACATTTCGCACGACCTAACCCTAACATCACCGTGGAAAATAGTTGTAGGTTTTACCAGCAAATTTTCCACGAATAAGCGACTGTGAAATTACAATTCTAAATTGTAAAATTACAAATTCTATGGAATTCATCGTTGAGCAAGATATAGGGGTGTCATAAATTTACAAAATGTTTTGTAATAATTAGGAGGTAAATATTAGGTACAAATTGTACATCGTAAATTTCACGAGGATAATTTTGACAGTGGCACACCGTGCTTCCGGACCACAAAAGGGCTGCCTTAATTCCTCGGCTCCAACCAAACTTCACCCCGTGCCTTTCTCATTGAGTTCGGTGATTATCCCCAGTTGTGAAAATCCAATCATAAACTGAGACTGAACTCTCCTTGCCGTCGTCCGCAGGCCTGGCCGTCCTTCTGGATCGCATGGAGAGGCCCACCGCCACCATCGCCGTGGACGGGTCCGTGTACCAGAAGCACCCACGGTTCAAGGCCCTCCTGGAGAAGTACACCAGCATGCTCGCCCCGAAGAGAAAGGTAAGCGTCTGAAGTAGCTGAAGTACTTTTTCGGCTCGAGGAAAGGTTTGCCCTCTCTAGTTGAGTTTAAACGGCATAAGTATACTTTCAAAAAGGCATGTAGATACCACAAAAAGTATACATTTACGTACTGTGATCGAGTTCACACTTAGGTGATACCATGACATAAAAAGTGTGCCCTCACACCTGTTCAGACAATTAATTTTGACGTTAATTTTGTTTTTGTCACGTTTCGCAGAGAAAGTTCCTGCTCGCCGAGGACGGCAGCGGCAAGGGCGCGGGTCTGGTGGCGGCCATCGCGGAGAAGCTACGGCTGCGGAACAACAACAGCTCCCTGTGAAGGAGAAGAGGAAGAAGAAGAAGTGGAGCGACTGCGAGGAGAAAGAGGACCTGAAGGCGAGAAACCTTACCGTCACCGCAGTGGAGGGGGAGGATCGACGCTGACGCCCGATGATGACCGCCCCCGTAGCGCTGCTGGACCAACGGGGCCCAACACGCGCCTGCGCGCACGGACCTCGCCATAAGACATTCCAGAGAGTCACACCGCTGTTTGGACCGACCCTCCCCCCAACCCCCCCAATCTCCCCGTTCCTGCCGCAGATGGCGCGCACACTGCTAGTCACTCGTATGTAAACCACCCCACGCCTCTGCGTGCTACCCCCCTCCCCCTCAAAAAACAACAACAAAACAAACAAAGACGTCACAGGATGTATGTCGTATTGACGTCGATATGACTTTAAAAATTGGTCCACGAAATGAGTCAAAAATTTTAAGAGGCTGAAAACTGTTCACTTGTGTTTACTATGGGAAATAGCCCCGGGGGAGGACGCCATGACTTCACTGTAAATAGCTATTAGTAATTATAGTAATAATGTTAATAGTTGTGTAAGTTAAGCCTGGAGACAGACTAGGTTGATATTTTAGACTGTATATATGGAGAGATGCCCGGGCAGGCCCCGAGGTCCCCGTCGTACGGACGGCTGTTATTCGATGTGTAAATAGTTTTTATTATTTTACGTGAGATGGTATGTTGTGTGCGTGTGTGTGCGTCTCTCTCTGTGTCTCTCTCTCTAAAAGCAAAAGAGAGAGAGAGAGAGAGAGAGTGAGGTATGGAGAAGAGAGAGAGTATCATTCCCTCTCTCTTGAGTTTGTCCGGCGGGCGGGGTATTGGAGGATACGCTACGTTTCCTGGAAACTCTCTAATAATATACCCCTCCCGTGTGTGCGACTGTCCGCTCGTGTCCCAAAACGAGAGTATGAGCGAGCAGACTCGGGAAAAATAACCAAAGGTGTTAGGACACCACCCTTTACGGGGGTGCGTGAGCTGTTTTTGAGTTTAATCTCTATTTAGAAGCACTATGGAATTTCCGTAAAAGAAGGTGCTAAAAGTTTGTGCCTGTAGCGGTTTAATGCTTTCATCTTCTCTTTAGCACCTGTTAGAGGCGTGACCCAACATACCTTTGGCTTTTTTTTACCAGTGCTCTTCTCGCTGGGATAGCGGCGTCAATTTGTGATATGTGATTTCGTAAATGTCCCAATAAAGTGCCATACTAAAGCAAGCATGTGATGAGCGTTGGTAAAAGCGTTTTGCGCCGTTTTGTCAGGATCTGTGATTTTATTTGTGTACTCGCGTCGCACAGGGGACGCGATATTACCTGCCACATTCGTGTGTGTTATGCGTATTGTACGTCGTCCTTATGGCAGCACGGTGTTTACGTATTTGCAGTCCACGCTGGAAAAGGGGGGAGGGGAGGAGGGCGTTGTAATCAGCCTGACTTGACTCGCCCCATCCCAAACTGCCCCCCCCCCCTCTTGAAACTCAACTGTGATACAGTCCAAAAAGTTGAAAGGGCAATACCATGAGCACCGCTTGCACATCATACTTGCAACTGTCACATGTGTCACGCTTAAAAGTGTAGTAGTACCACTCTGCACTTTTAAGCGTGATACATGTGTGGTACTTCAGTTGCAAGTGTGATACATGCTACAGTTTGAACTGTGATACTCATGGTATTGCACTTGTAGCTGTTGGACTGCATCGCACTCGAGTTTCCAGAGCAACAAGGGCACCAAGCAAACCAAGCTTTGAATGATAATGTCGATAGGAAAACGGAGTTATATTTCGTATATTGCTTTTGTAGTAAATAGATTTTGGAAATGATATAAAAAATATTAAAAAGAGAATCAATTTACAACTTCTATATGCCGTACATATTTATTGTCCGGGTATTGGAAATGAGAACTTAAAGTTAAACTACCACTATCAATATCAGTTTGGCCTTTGGCCCGACACTGACGGCTATCCTAAAGCTGACAACATCGCGCAAAACTCCACGAAACGGAGACACACTGTCGCCTTCTCAAACAGAACAAACGGAATCTGAATCCATCTGTTAAAAGTCACCCCTGAAAGTAACGTCGTTTCTTTCCCAGAATTCATTCGGGAAAACTTACGCGCGCGAGGGCGGCTCGGCGCCTGCGAGACTCGGGGTAGGCCACCCCGCTGTACACGCATGCACCGTGGGCGATATGTTGCCCACCCACCAGGCGCTATGAGAGCTTGCACCGCTTGCACGGACTGTGAACTTGGCAGGCAGGTTACCCAACGGCGAAAGGCGGACGCTTACTTTCTGGATGATCCGGCACGGATGATCCCGTGGGTGCGTGCGAGACGATGATGGTGGCCAATTTTAAATGTCCAGCCGACCAGAGAAATAAAATATAGATCATGGTGGGCGGCGGGAAAGTTGCGCGCCCTGCTCGACCAATGGCAGCTCTCCCGAACTGGAGCTGCTAACCATTATCCCCCCTCCCCCTCCCTCCCCCCTTTTCTCCGGATGCTCCATGGAGAGCAAAACCGCGCGGCATTTATTTGCATCAAATGATCAAACACAATTGGTTCCTCATTCCGTGCCGCAACCCACACACACACAGCACGTACCGTATCATCACCGCAAAATGAAATTAGTTCTTTCGGTGGCGCGAATATTATAGAGATGAGATTCCATGATTCCATTCTTATCACTACGTGCTGAATGCACACGCAGCACGTATCGCGCCCGTCCTGACGGGGCTCTTGCCGAGGGCTACTTCACTCAAACAAAAGATCAGCGTAGGGTACACCCTCAAAAGTAAAGGAAAAATGACAGAAAAATTATTTTAAAAAATAAATTGAAAAATTAGTTTAAATCAAGGTAATCCAGGGCAGTTCAGAAAAAAAATATAAGTGTACGCTTGAGTTTATGGTGAAGTTCCACTCGTCTTTTAGACACGTTTTCTGTTTCACACTGTTTCTGCTATCTGCCGGCGGTGCGGCGTCACAGCTCGGCCAGGCGCTGCACCTCGCCGATGACGAGGTCCATGTCCTCGGTGCGCGGCGGCGGGTGGCACGTCGTCAGCATCCGGAAGAAGTTGACGTGGCCCTTGTGCGGGAGCGGGCAGTAGCCGACGAGCAGGGTCCCGGCCAGGGCCATGCGCTCCTTGACGGTGGGCGCGACCTGGAACCAGGCCGAACACGTCAGAGGCCCCCGAGGGGCTATTCACTCCAAAATAAATCAGTGAACACCACCAACCAAAAGATATCCCGAAAAAAATCAGAAAAAAAGAAACAAGTCAGAAAAAATCAGATAAGAGGTCAGGAAAAATTAAAGAAAATCAGAGCAAAAATCAGGACCATTATCGGTGGCCCATTTTGTGTTTCACACATAGACATGTTTTTAAACTTACCGCGGCTACTTGACCCCACCACTGCTCGTCCTCCTTCTGACCGCGGAGGCGCTTGGGGATGTACCAGAAGCACACGTTGGTGCAGTCCAGCGCCTCGCTGACGAGCCGGAAGCCCTCCGTGTCGCGGACCCGGGACTGGAAGTAGCTGCAGCACATCGGGGACACAACAACGCACTCAGGACGAGGAGGGACGCATCGGGGAGCCTCCGGTAAAGGGTTTGAAACTGTTTAAAGTTTCAGGAAAATTTTAGGGGAAATGGAAAATTTCCCAGACTTTGGAAGATTTCCGTTATTTCCCAGACTTTGGAAGTTTTCCGTTATTTTCCGGGAACTTTCGGTAATTTTCCGGAAGTATTCCGGAAAATTTTGGAAATTTTCAGCCCAACTCCGATATTTATTGTCCAATTTTCGGTCCCCCGATAACTCAAATACAAGGCCTCCTCAAAATTTTAGTGTTTTCTTATATCATGGAGACAAAACAGTAAAATTTTGGAGAGTTTTGTCTGAGACCGAGACCAAAAGAGGTGGCAAAAAAAAACAAGAGACGCGTGTGTTTTTGTACCTGGCGCAGGCGACGGCGTTGTCGACGAGCGCGCCGAGGCCCTGGTCGCCGCGCGCCTTCCACATGAGCCACAGCTTGAAGGCGTCCACCTTGCGGCCGCACTGAACCGACTTGTCGCCCGTGTCCCACGACACGTCGTAGAACTTGTCCTGCTGGAAGAGGTACTCGGCGGCGGCGGCGTTGCAGCGGTGCAGGAGGCCCGGCTGGCGCACCAGGAACACGGAGCACTGCAGCGGCGCGCCGAGCATCTTGTGCGGGTTCCACGACACCGAGTCGGCGCGCGCCAGCCCGGCCAGGCGGGGCGCGTGCCTCGCGGAGAGGATGAGGGAGCCGCCCCAGCAGGCCTGCGTGCCGGGAAAGAAGAACGATTTGACCTGAACCCCGAGAGCTGGACGAGGGAAACCTAATTATTTAGCTATAGCTCAAAAAATAAGTAATGGCCACAGAGCTAGATAGCCAACGTTTTGCGACGTAGCTGAATGTTTAGCCACATAGCTAGTATTTTTATTCCGTAATGATACACGATTTTTGTGTTTCTTTTTGAATCTACTGTCATAAAACTGCTTTTCCTTCCTGCTTTGCC